TTTTTAAGTGGTTGCTTTACATTAATATTTGTCAGCTGTTTAACACTTTTGGTGTTTTATTATGTAATTGTTTTTACTGTTTGTTAATAGGTTTTTTTTACTGTTAGTGTAGGCATTAATACGGATAAACCGTATTCCATACACAAATAGTAGTACATTTATAAGGCTTACTATGACCATACTGCTGTCGAGTGTTGATGATGACCAGAATGTTGAGGGCACAGTTAATTGATGGCGATGTAAATGTTCTCCGTAGATTTGTGTTACTGTAGTTGACCTCTTGCACTGTAGTGAACACTAGCTTGGTGATTCCAGAACGAGTGGACTATACTGGGCAATATTACTGGTTACCGTATTTCACTGTGATAACCGTACTCGTCCTGGCCTCTTCAGATCAGCGGTCGGATTATGCTACAATCGTCGCCCACCTGCTCTATTTCTACCCGTTGCGAGTAGTAGTTCGGTATCAGCGCCTGTATCATCCGTACCCTATTTCTCATACTCTTCCGTTAACTTCATTCTATTGTTTTTGTCCTATATGTGTATGATTTTTTCTTGAATGTCAGAAGAGATTGTTCATTTCTCACATGCTCTGTCCAGTGACTGACAATGTCGTAGGTAAACGACCACCATCCATTCCCAGAACAAGTAGAAAATCAGTGGCTCTCTTGCCAATTCACCGTGTCGAGCGGCCGACAAACCTAACCTTCATCAGGTTTCTTTCGGCAACTAGGTAACCGTTTTAATTTTTTTTTAGAATTATATACTTTAAATATTGAATGTTATTTTAATACATTTATTTAACTTACATAGAATTAATTTAAACCTGTAAAACATATGACTAAAATTATCTTATAATAATTAACTCACGAGATTCAATTCACAAACAATTACATTTAAATAAATCACTCTAATTTTATTTCAAAATATACAAATTTTTATGTTTCATTTCAGAACTCGGATTTTTTTGTGTTTCAACGTTCATCAGGGTTCGTTGGGAGCAAGGTAATCCTATTATTATTTTTTTTAAATTATACAGTTATAATATTTAATGTTATTTAAATAAAAATTATTTAACTTACATAAAATAGATTTCAACCTTTAGAACATGATTAAAATTAACTTATAATAATAAACTTATTAAAAGTAAAGTTCATATTTATTTAATATAAATCAATTTAAATTAATCAATCTACATTTATTTCAATATATTCAAATTTTAATTAATTTTTGTTTATTTTCAGAACTTGGATTTATTTGTGTTTCAACCTACCCCACAGTGCAGATATATTTATTTAATGTTTATTTTACATTTAAAGTTATCCAAAAATATTCCAATAAATATGAAATATTGATATTGTATATAATTTTTAAGGTTTATTAAACACTGTCAAAACATTAGTTGAACAGAAAAAAATGTTTATATTTAATTTAAAAAATGATATTTTATGAAAATTTACCACTTATGTTGATTAAATGTTTACAACCCATGTCAATAAATGTTATGCAAACCTTGATATATTTTTTATTTATTAAATTTCCATGGATTGTGTGACCAATTTACTATATACATTAAGTACAAATATTGACAGTTATATAATGGTAATAATATGTATGTGATAAGTGTTTTTTAAAACAAAGAGTATCAGGTATAATACAATATAATATATAATGAAACTAATATAAAAAATTACAATTCATGTTCATAGATATTCTTGACCATTTTATAGCAATATGCTATGTAGTTTTAATGAATTTCCTACAAATAGGTATACTACCTATTTACTATTTCGGGAGAAATCATATATGCTCATGTGTAATATTGAGCAAAAATATATTTTTTATGTTAATATATATATATATATATATATCATATATTATAATATGTGTCTTTTTGATAATATGCACAATATAATTATTTATTTATTTATTAAGCCGTGGCAACTATGGTCGTTGTCTGAAGGGAGGAAACTGTAGAGGAGCATGAGTTGGAGACACATTTGTGTATGTGGGACATAGGTTTGTCACTAAAGATCCAGTGATCTCCCAGCACTTTTCAGTGACTATGGCCAGACATTACGCTACACATTGCTCATAATATACACTATATTATAATATATGATTAGGTAATAATAAAAATCTAAATTAATTAGAAATACTGTACTAAAATTAACTTGGTTTATTTTATTGAATCATAACAAGACTTTATAGAAAATAGAAAAAATGATTAAGTTGATTGTATTTTGTAGGAGTCTTTTGATAGCAAACGGAGCTTGAACCAAAACATATTTTATGGTTTCTTCTATTTCATATCAGCATACATGTTTAAACTGTCCTTGTTTTTTTTATAGCACTGAAATAACATATAAAACAAATGAGTATATTCTTACCAAATATAACACTACAAATGCTCAAAGAACAAAATGGAATTTTTCCTTTTTTCCATTGTAAGAATAGTGTTGTAGCAACTCATCTGTACGTAGTTTGGACATAATTCTGCGCACCATTGCCTTGACATGTTCCCTACCTATTTATGTATATTCCTTAACCTAGAAATTATTTGTTTTGTTTTTTAGATGAATATATTATATTATGAATTTTCTAATGACTACAAATTATAAATATTACCACACATGTTCTAAATTCATTATCACCAGCAATTTTATCATCAAAAGTTTGTAAATCTATAATTTTGTCTATTGGTAATGGACAGTCATTTAACTGATTGACGGGAAAATGTTCCTCAAAGGCCCGAAGCTGATCTTCCAATTGTAACTGTAAAGACTAAATGATTCAAAATGACCAATTGATTGCTTTGAATTTGTTTTAATTCAATTTTTAGAAAAGCCATATCTTTATTCACGTAATTTTGGAGTTCCATATCTCCTGAATAATAAAATAATAATGTATAGTAAATATTTGTATATGACTGTAAAAATTTTACTTGTATAATTTATGAAATATTTTTGTATATTATAACATTACCTGCAGGTTGTATGACATTAGAATTGAAGCTTGACAGACATTCTACAACATAACTATTTTTAAACCATTTAGTTGGTTATCTAAAAATAATAATAATTAGGCATTGTTAAAAAGTATTTAACAATTAATTCACAGCATAAAGGGGGTATCACAGAGATATGGCAAATATGATAATTTTTATTCTACTCCATATTTTTGAATTAATTTATTAATTTTGAAGATAAATAACACAAAACTGGACAAATTATTTTGCTGAAAAATTCTAAATAGCCAATTTATAAATCTGAGTTGAAAGACACCATTTATACAATCAAACTATATAATCTAAGTATTACCAAAATTATACCTAAATAACCTTAATCCAAAAAATTAATTTATATTACACAATTTAAAACTATTGATTTTTAAATTGGATTTTACATACTTCTAATTAATAAAACTGAAGCGAATATAAAAAAAATAATTCATCAGTATTACACTATTGAACAAACTGTATAAATGTTGTTCGGATATAAGTAACAGCAAAAACTAAATAATATAAATATAATTATGTTTATAGTTACTACTCGTGTCAAGAGTATGATGATCACAATAAGCTTCTTCAAATTCATTAAAACGAATATTACTTTGATTCAATATGGGAGTACCTAAAATATAGTTATTAAATATTAGATGATGTATATAACGTATAATACAAATATCGTTGAACATTCAAGATATCAAAATATAAATTTTTTGGTGTAGCTAATACTATAAAACAGAAATATTCTTATATGTAGTATTAAAGATAACTCACTTGTTTGTTCATTTTTTTTTTTTTTACTGAAGTGGGTGGTGGTTTTTCAAAATAAGAAAGTCCCTGCATGATTTTATCTGTAAAATATGCAATATTTGGCATCTTTGAAATAGATATGGATAGATGTTTTTTTTATTAATATAATTTATTATTTAATTATCATTACCTTTTAGATTTTTGGAAGAACTAGAATGTAGATTAATTCGATCAGTTGATGCATTTAATCTGTAGTTTGCAACTAAATAAATATGAATTTAATTGTAAATATTATTATAAGGTCAATTTAAATATATACTTAAAATAGCAAAATATTTAAAATACAAATTACTTTCATGTTCTTTACTTGTGGATAGAGGTTTATTGGGTGACCACCTAGGTACTAATTTAGTTTTTGTGTTTGTTTAAATTTTTTGGAGAGTCTTTAAGTGGTAATTAGTGTTAATCATATCATTAGCTTTTTCATCTGAATACAAAATGAAATAGTTTAAAAAAAGTTAACTATTTATCCATATATTTATTTTATCATCATAAATTGGCATAGATGAAGTTGATGATGTAGGAGACTTAATAATATTTCTGATTTTGAGTAAAGCATCTTCATCAGTATTTGTTAAGTCCGACCTATACCTAGCATCGTCTGCAACATCTCTGCCTTTGTTAGTGACCCTATTTAAGATTAATCAATAAAAAATTAGTAATTAATAAATCAAAACACTGCAAATACAATTTTAAAGAATTTAACCAAATTTTTTATGACTACTCGAACTTTGAAATACTTAAAGTCTATTTCATTCGGCATGTGTTTATTTTGAATATACTTGATAATGCATGCTTTATTATGACACCAAGCACATACATTAACACCATGCTTTTACCGGCCTTTATCCAGGTACTAGGAACTGCTTCACCAGAGTTATCATTTAGAAAACACAGTAGGACGACATATTTTATAATAAATTCCTACTTAAAATAAATAAAAACATGTTTTTTAAATATTAATTATAATTAAATTATTTAAATAACTATTTAAATATTACATTTCATAATATTAAAATTTACTATTAGAATTTAATATAGGGATAACAATTTTTACATTATCAGAGTCATTAAAAATCACATATTTTTTCAGTTTTATTTCTTGAATATTAATTATTGTTTTATAAATACTAGGTAAATGTTCAACTACAACTATACCTAATGTTAAACTATTGATTGGCTTAACAAAAAATATTTCAATTTTATCAAAACATTTAACAACAAGTACATTTTTAGTAATATTTTCAATTTTAAAAATATTTAATTTATTTTCTTTGGATTTAAATCCAATATAACAGTTAGAACTAGAAATAGTATTAATTTTAAAGTAACTCATTATCATAGTTTTAAATTGAGGACCAGAATTCTGCTCGACTAATGGGCCCTCATCATGTAGTTTTTTAAACACTATTTCGTTATTGGAAGATAATGAAATTTTAACCTCAGTAAAAGTAAAAAATTCATCATAACTCTTGACTTGTTTCAAGGGCCTTTTAAATTTGTGTACCATTTTTTTTTAAAGTTTCAAATAATTTTAAAATGGAAAACATCAACAGTTATTCAGAGTTCTATATTTACGGTATTTGTCAGCTATTTGCAACAACCCATGAATATTATGACTTATAAATTGTTATCCACATATTTCACCAAATTTATTTACAAAATATTTTAATAATTGTTCAGTAAAATTAATCAGATTTGTGTCTATATTTGGTGTTAAAAGAATTCTAAAGCAAACATGTAAGCATATAAAATGTGAGTAACATGGTTCACTTATAACATTTTTTAAAACGATCGGTGTATATGGAAGGAATAACCTATACTCCATAGCTTTCCATTTTAGAATTTCTGTAAGGCTTTCAGGAGTTATAGAAAAATCATAAGTCATATTAGATTTCAGAGGGATAAAATATGACTGGCAATATTTCGTACTTTAATATTATGTAAACGTACAGAAGACAAGGGGGAATTTTTTAAATGGCCTAACCACAGTAAAATAAGTTTTTTTGTTATTCCTAACACACAAGGTGCATATAGTCAAGAGGAAAGTCATTAACTATATAAATGTTAGGAACTTCAGTAATTAAAGATATTTTATCCGTCATATGATGTTCTTCATCAACTCGGTTTAAAAAATGTAAGCGTCCTTCCTGTATAGGAAAAAAACCTATTAACTTGTATGCATTTTTGGCCAACATTTGTAGATATGCTAGTAATAAACAATTCTTTGAGTTCATTTATGAAATTTTTAAGGATTAAATTACTTTCTAAAAGCTTATCACAACCCCAATATAAACCAATTACAAAAATATAATGAGAATTTAACAACTTTACACATCCAAAAAAAGGCAAAATGTACTACACAAGAGGTAGGTCTTACACATAAGAGGTATCCCATCAATACCAATAAGAATTTTAATCGATTCATCATTGAACGGCACATAATTACTCAAATATTTTATTCCTTTAGCGATACCAAAATGATGATTACTCCCTGGGAGAACAGTTTGAATACCCATTGGGCTATTAGGATTAACTTTTAGTAGTTCTAGCATTTACATGAATATTATTAAAACATTTATGTGATTTTAAAGACTTTAACAATGCAGACAAGACACTGTTTGTTATATTATATATAACTGCCCATTTGGTAATTAATTAAATTATTAAATTTTCATCATTATTAAAAAAAAAAAAAGGTTTGACTTCTCATCAGTATCAATATTAGAAATAGTATAGGATATTATATTATTATCTTCTACACATTGTGTTAATGAAGGAAAATTAAATTCATCTGAAATTAAATTTGATTCTTAACTTTCATAACCAATGATAATATTATTACTAACAATGCTTTGGTTATGCAGTACAGCTGTATCATTTCTAGATAAAGTAGGGTGTATACAAGTTCTATAAACATCAATTATTTCAATTTCTTCTAAAAATCTACGGCGTTTAGTGGACTGACTATTGTGAATTTGGCGACATAATTTATTAATGTGATCAATAATAACTGTAAAAACTTTCCAAAAATAATATATAAAATAGGTACTCGTATACTAAATGTTTTATAATATTATTTATAAGCAAATTATAAAATAAATATAATTTAAATAATATAAAATTGATGGATATAAAACTGTCGGGGGGGGGGGGGATGAAATATTTGCACATTTCTACATTTCACTTATTACCCCCCTCTGCATTTTTTTTTTTTAATTATTTAAACACCTCTCAATATTAGTATACAACCATTGTAATCTGTATACATTAAAATAAATAATAATATAATATTTAGATACTCACATTTACATTTAAACGTTAGCAATATTGATATTTGATACTTACTAACTAGATACGGTTACGAGTTACATCACAAATTTAATCACAATAAAAATCTAATCTATGTGGTTTTAATGCTAATTCATTAAGCACTTTTTCAGCATCAACTTTAATATTTTTATGAACAGCCAAAATATCAAGACCGTTTAATCGATTCTGTGGAATAAAAAAGTCAAGCACTATTTAATCTCTACCACAAAAAGTATGCAATGAAAAATATTAAATATATTTTAATTAAAATTCAAACCTCAGACATTGTGTTTCTTAAATACGTTTTCACTCTTTTCAGAGTTGAAAACATACGTTCGAGCAATGATGTTGACACTGGTAAAGTGTATAACACTTTAAAGAGAAAATAAATATTGGGGTAGATATCTTTATTACAAATATTTAGAGCCTCAAGACCAATATTAGGTATTTTTCTAGATCATTGTACCTTGGTACACCACAGTTTTTTTTATTCAACCAAAGAATCATTAGACACTACGGGAGAATAAAATTTAATTAATTCGGTAAATTCATTTTCATCTTTTTCAGTAAGCTTATGCTTAGAAAATAAGCATTCAAAACCTATAGAATGATTTAATCAAATATTCAAATAATTAAAATGTTAAGAAATTTTCAAATGAAAATGCAAAGAAGTTCTAAATGTATAATTAAATACCATTAAAAATAAATGCATTAGATAAAAATCTTTCTGTCAACTCGCTTATAAAAAACTCAAGTTATGGAATAAAAATTGTAATTCTATAGTATTCTTCAATGTCTAAATCCCTTGCATTATCTGAACATAGATGTCCTCTATTAGTTTGTCTTTTTGTAATTCTTTTTACAGTTAACTCAAGTTCAAATACCGTAGCCATACTCTAAAAAAAAAAAAAATTGAATCTAAATAATATACATTTTTTTGTTATTGTTAATTAATAATTAATTGTTGAAAATAACACTTAATTCGGACTGTAAAAATAGTTTATGGAACTCTTCTTCTGGATTAGCCCTTATTAAATCTAAATTGTAAATTACATCATTAGAAAGTTCTACTGCTTCTTTCAGATCAATCCTTATTTTTTGCAATTGCTTACACAAAGGTAAGCTATATGAAAACACAACTGAAATTACATAAATATAGTTATAAAAATAATTTATATAAGATTATAGGTAACCATATAATTATTGATTTACTTTAACTTGAAGTGGTATAATAAATTCTAAATCAATTGATATGGTAAGGAGGCATCTGTTCCTGATGAGTCATGAGTATTTGAAATATTGTCCAAAGCATCAATGACATGTGGAAACAGTTCAAAAAAATCATTGACAGCATCATATCTTTGTATCCAACGCGTAGCACATAGTCATTTTAATGTTTTAGCTTTGGTGTTACGTTTGCATTTTCAATACAATTTAAAAGCACATTGTCATGTTTTGGAGTATTGAAAAAGTCGTAAAGTTTCTAATTGGTTGAATATTTGATGCTTTTGTAACTGCTAAATTTAACGTGTACGCAGCACAATGAACATAAATGGCTATTGGATAATTTGCTCTTGCTGTTGCTTGAACTCCTTTGTATTTACCACTCATACTAGATGCACCATCATAACCTTGTCCAATTAAGTACTCACAATTAATACCATAACTTTTTAAACCTGAGTACATAAAATACATTAAAATTAATATGTAATGATCAATAAATTATTTATATTGATTGTTTTGATAAATCATTATCATTTATTATAGCAGATGCTAGGTCAGGTCCTGTTAAACTGTAAATAATTACGAATTGAAGAAAACTTTTATTTACCACATTGTTATTGTCTTTAAAAGAACCCATAATTTCAGTTGTCTTTTTGTAGCAATATCTGTTGTTTCATCAGCTAAAACTGCAAAGCCCTTAGCAGCATTTACTTTCCCAACTATTTCTTTTAAAATAATTGATCACTAATACAAATAATTTCATTTTGGATCTTTGGTGATATGTATTTTTAACCCTTTTCTTCTTCAAGAATATTATTCAAGAAAGTATCACGATGGGATCTATACTTTAGTATTGGCCAAAAGTTACCTTGGTTTTCAAATTCTACAATAATAAAAAATCAAGTTAATGAAATTTAATATCCTATAATTCAAAATAGAAACTATAATACAAATTACCAAGTTCCAATAGTTACCATTATTATTATTTTTCCAGAATCACGATATCCTCAGAGTGCAATTTCTTGTCGTCCACATAATACTATACACTCAATTATTGGAATTAGGCGACTTCTTTTCAATTTAACTTGTTCTGTCCTATTTGTTTATAATTTTTCAACTATAGAAACTTGTTTATGATCAAGTTTTGACAAAAAATGATCAGCATCTAATTTATATGATAAATAATACTTCAATTGGGAATGATTTCGGAACGTCTAAAATTAAAAAGAATATGTAATTTTACTATTAAATACAGAAAACATAATAATTTTAAAAGTGCATATTATATAATTAATCTATAAAATATATAAATAGAAGATATTAATAATAATTAATATAATAAATACAAAAAAAGTAATTTAACACCTCTTTTGCTTTTTTCCAATTTGTAAAAGCAGTTGAAACAAGTTGTCCCAGAGGCTGGCCACCAACTCTGCCATCATATTTAGCAAATAATATTATTAATAATTATATTTAGTAGTTAATAGAATACATAATATAGATATAGGATTGCATAATAAAATGTAGATGATATAGTCATGTTAATTGCTAGTGAAATAATAAAATAATAGATTTAGAATGCAAAATAGCTTGTTATAGCCGCTTACACTACTACATTTAACTTGCAAGCTTTTTATCATCGTCAGTAAGTGTACAATTAGCAAAAAACTCTACATCATTTGATCTAAAATGAATTTCCAATTCATTATCAATAATTTCATCCTGAGGAAGAACAATAATCAAAATTTAAAGCAGTTTTTT